TGTCTTGCAGCAAATCAACCAGCACATTTAACTAGCAGACATGCACAGTTGCAAACAGTGCAAAGCAGGCACAAGACTAAAGAAACAGAGAATTTTTTTTGAAAAAAGTATGATTAACTTTTTGAACTTTGAACTTTGGATTTAGTAATTTAAGTTCATAACTTCATTAATTAATCCTTTATGATGCTTCATCCTTTCAATCTGTGTTCAGGCGATTCACGTCTGATTCTGTCGTGGAGCTCCATAGCATTCCCATAATTTTATTCCTATTTGTAATTAATAATCTGGTCTCTATATTGTAGTATATTCCTGTGCAATTTCTGCACTTAGAGACTTCGGTCCTCTCCCGTTAGTTTTGGGGATTATCATTCAAAAATGGGTAGGTTGGTTAACGGGGGGCCGAGCTCTGCTCTGCAGGGGCTGCACAAGGTGGGTAGTGAAGCCCTGGAGGGGGTATGAGTAGATTTGTGTGGGATACTCTATTCTGGGGCGGAGGGGAGACTTCAAACCTCAGCGGGGGCAGTTTAGGGTAAGGGGCAGGCAGAGGCGTACTTTAGGAGGGAACTGTATGTCTCAGGGGATTAGGGGGGGGAGTGTGGGACTGTTCCTGGCTGGGGCTGATGAGGAAGGTCTACAATTAGGATTTTCATTTTGGACGGAGGCAGCGACAGGACAGGGGGGTAAGGAGGAGGGTGACCACGTACCATAGGTTTAATCATGTTTTAATCATCTTCAATCATCTTTAACTATCACTCTCAATCTCTTCTGAATACTATGTCTACCTTAGCTGGCTTCTTTACAATCCTAGGCGACACCTGGCTTCTTCTCTTATCGGATTCTGGAATTTAGAGATGATTGGAATCTTGGTTGATGTCTTACAAGGTAGTTGTGTTTTGTGCTTCTAGTTTGCCGATGTCAGAACAACGCTGGCCGGTGCTGGGGTGTTGCCCTGTAACCTGCTTTGTGGCAGGAGCGCGAGGCCTGGTAGAGAGATCTGGGGATTCGTCGAGGGAGGAAGGCAATCCAATGGATGTCAGAACAACGCTGGCCGGTGCTGGGGTGTTGCCCTGTAACCTGCTTTGTGGCAGGAGCGTGAGGCCTGGTAGAGAG